TATTTACATCCTGATTCAGGGAAAGGATACATGTCCCTCACATTCTAGTAGAGACAAAGGATACAAGTATCCTTCAGATCTCTTATAACAGGATGATGTTGTTCAGTCATGTCCAACTCTTCATGACCCCATTTGGGGTTTTAGAATGCTTTGCCATCTCTTTTTCCAGCTAATTTTAAAGATGAGGAACTGAGGCAAAAAGGGTTAAGTAACTTGACCTGGGTCACACAGCTAGTAAGTGTCTAAGGCCAGATTTGAACTCAGAAAGATGAGCTTTTCTGACTCTAGGGCCAGCACTCTATCCATTGAGCTACCTGGCTGCCAAGAGGATTATACAGGAAATCAAATAAGATAGAGGGTAGAGTGTTGTTGCTGTTGTCACTATTGGTGTTGTTTTAAAGTTCTGATGATCTTTAAAAAAAAAAAAGGAAAGAGAGAGGAAAAAGAATACACTGGGGGGGGAGGAAAAGAGAAATCTATCTCATATAATCAGGGTACACAAGTAGAAGACTATCTTTCCCACACTGCTGGGGTTAGTGGCACAGTGCCCCCTCGATCAGGAAAATCTGAGTAAAATGTTTTGGGCCTCCCTTCGTACCAGAACAGAAGTCTTAATTTTTTTCTTTTTCTCTTACTGGGCATTTACAGTACCTTATTGTAAAATCTGGGTTAAGTATTTGGTCATAGGCTCTGTGTCTTCACATTTTGTCTGCAGCTTCCACAAAATTCCCAAAAAATTCCCATTTAATTTCTTATGCCAACCCGTGATATATTCAAACTTTGAAGGTGAAAGTTGCAATGTGAAAGGGATAACTATATAAATAAGGAAGAAAGGGTAGGAAGAGCATGTGAAACTTGAATCTTACTTTCATCTGAATTGGTCAAAGGGGGAAAGAATGCACACGCGCGTGCACACACACACACACACACACACAGTTGGATGAAGAAATACATTTCACTCAATATGAAAATAGGAGGGAGGGGGAATAAGAGGGAAAGTAGATTCAAGGGTGCACTGCCATAAGGAAAATAAACTTTAACCAGAGAGGACAGGTTGCAGAGAAGGATTTAAAAGGAAAGAAAGGTAGAAGTGAATGAGAAAGTAGAGACAGAAAGTGTTATCAACTTTTTCCAAGGAGTTTTGCAGAGAAAGGAAGGAGGGATACAAGACAACAGTTTGAAGGGTTGGAAGGATACTATGAACATTTTTTTTAAGATGGGGGAGACTTGGGCATGTTTGAAGTCAAATGGGAACGAACCTAAATAGGTAGAGGTTAAAGATTCAAGAGAGCAGGGATAACATTGAGGATGCAATTAAACAGATAAGACAGAAGGCAAAATGTTCATGTATAAGATATCACATTGGTAGAGAAGGAACACATTGGTGCCAGTGACTACAGAAAAGAAGGAAAGACCGGGAGATGACCTCAAGGGGCTTTGAGATATTTTTTGAAAATTTTTCAGTAAAAAAAGAAGCAAGGGGCAGCTAGGTGGAGCAGTGGATAGAGCATGGGCCCTGGAGCCAGGAGGACCTCAGTTCAAACACGGCCTCAGACACATAACACTCACTAGCTGTGTGACTATGGGCAAGTCACTTAACCCCTATTGCCACCAAAAAAAAAAAAGAAAGAAGCAAGTTCCTCAGCTGAAAGTGGGGATCACTGTGACATATAGGGGGCTTAAGGAGGGAAGAGATTTGGAATTGCTTCTGTTGGGAATATGACAGTATATCAATTTTTCAGTAATTTTTCAGTCATGTACAACTCCTTGTAATCCCATTTGACGATTTCTTGGCAAAGATACTAGAGTGGTTTGCCATTCCTTCTCCAATTCATTTTACTGAGGTAGACAGGATTAAGTGACTTGCCCAGGGCCACAGTTACTAAAGTGTCTGAGGCCAGATTTGAACTCAGGAAGATGAATCTTCCTGACACTATATCCACTGAGACACCTAGCTGCCCATGTAAATGGATTAGAGAGGAATAAAATAAAAAATTTTTAATTGTCTTGCTGCAATGAGAATCCAACCAGTCGAGGTTGGATAACAATTTTGTAATTGACCTGGTTATCAGCTGTGCAATTATAATGGAAAATAATTCTCATGCAGGCAACATCCTAGATCTATAGACTAGTTATTTCCCTTTATCCAGAGAGAATGGAACAATAAGTTAAATTTACTTCATAGATGATATTGATGAAGCTGTTTGGAAAATTGCTAAATCCAGTTATGTGGTACTCTGTACAACGGAACATAAATTTTGATTTTCTATACTTGGCAAGATATCTTGGGGTCTGGGGCTAGATTTTTTTTTCTTTTTTCTTTTCTACTTACTTATTCTATCTTTTCCCCCCAAAGCCCACTGGCATTCAAAAGGACTACTTAACTATGCCTTTAAACCCAAATCACTCCGGCTCTCACTGACTGGCCAATAAAAAGTGCCCAAGCCACTAGGTTATTGTTTGGGTTTTGATGGCTCAGAGTAAGAGGAAATAGCAATTGCTGTAGTTCTAGCCAGAAGCCCCGAGGGTCTTCCCCTCCCTGATTAATCCTTTTGAGAAGGCAAACTAGGTGATCTTTGGCCTTTTATCTTACCTAGCCATTAATCACTGAATGAGTGTTGCCTCAGACAAACTAAGACCTGGGAAAGACCTTAGCTTAAAAAGGCCAAAATCTGTTTTTTGTTTTTGTTTTTGTTTTTTTAGGCAATTGGGGTTAAGTGACTTGCCCAGGGTCACACAGCCAGTCAGTGTCAAGTGTTTGGTCTGAGGCCGGATTTGAACTCAGGTCCTCCTTACTTCAGGGCCGGTGCTCTATCCACTGCGCCACCTAACTGCCCCAAAAAGGCCAAAATCTGCCTCTGCACCTGGGGTCATCTCCAGTCAGTCCTGACATCATCTTGCCACTGGACTCATGACTATGGAGAAGAGAGTAACACTGAAGACTTTGCAGTGCCCTGCCTCACTTAAATCCAACTCACTTGCAAGTCAAGACAACACCCTACTGATCCTGTTTATTAATCCCACTAAAAACTATTATTAATATAAAACTCAAAAACTCATGGGTCATTTGTTGTACAGTTCGAAAACAGCATACAGAATGCTAGATTTGGAGCTAGTGGTCCTGGGTTCAAATCCTGGCTTTGCCACTTACTACCTGTGCAACATTAGGCAAGTAACCTATCCTGGGCCTCAGTTCCCTTATCTGCAAAATGAAGAGTTTAAAGAAGACTTCTAAGGTTCCTTCCAACTCAAAACTCTATAATGCTACAATCTCACTTTCCCCAAGTATAAAACTAGGGATTTCAACTAAAATGAGATTATAAAACATAACATTCCAAAGTTAGAAAAGACCTCAGAGATTATCTAGTCTAATCCTACACTCAAAGAATCATCTCTTCTATGACAAACTCATTGAGTATCAGGTAAAGACCTGACAATTTTCAATGAGGAAGATTACCTGTAAAGGAAACCCATTTGATTTTTGAATAGTTCTAACGGACAGATTTTTCCTGACACCAAACCAAAATTTATAGCTAAACAACTTCCACCTAGTTTACCAAAGGGAAACAAATCTGTTCCCTCCTAGAATCAAGTAGCAGAGTATATGGAGTCCTGGGTCTGGGGTCAGGAAGATTTGAGTTCGAAACTCACCTCAGACACTCAGTAGATACGTGATCCTGGGACAAATCACTTATCCACTCTGTTGAACTCCTCTAAAGTGGGAGTGAGCTTAATGCTCACTGAATGATTAATTCAAGTCATTGATAAAAATGTTTAAATGTCATTGATTAAAAAAAACAGCACAGGACCAATCAGTCCATCAATCCACTGGAGAGCTCCCGCTGAGTTGATACCAAACCATTAATTACTACTGTTTGAGTATACCATTCAACTAATTACAAATCCATCTGAAGATAAAATTATCTAAACCAAACCCCTCTACCTTTTCCTAGAGAATAGCATGAGGCACCTGATTACCTATAATCCTAAATATAATGGTCACCATATATACATTAAATTTCTTAGCTATACCTTTATTCTTTTTCTGATACACAAAATATGTGTCATCCTAAAAACTGATGAGGATAGAAGAGGGTAACAAAAAAAAAAATCCAGCACTATTTTAGAGCAAAATGTCCAATTACGTAACTGGACTAGATTTCCCCAACCACAATAAAAGAAAGGTGATAGAAAGACTGGCCCTGTGACTTCAGAATCTCAATCCAGGATCTTGTTTCAAATAATTGCTGGCCTTTGTTACCATCGTGTAGTTTAACACAAACACACACACACACACAAAGTGCTTTAGGAAGACTTTCACAAAAAGAGTGGGCTATAAAGTTGCACCATATTGTCTTTCTGTTTAGCTTAGTTGATTCATAGACCAGGTCTATACCAACAGACTTGGGTATCAACTCCATTCAGCCAAGTTGCTCAACGTCCTTGAGTTCACCTCCTTAACCTTCACAAGTTGGACAAGAGGGCTTTCTGATTTCTCAGATGTTACAAATGAGAGAAATGAAGCTCGGGGAGAGGTTTAATAATTTGCTCGAGAACACACAGCACTGGCAGTGGAAGAATTAGCTGCGAAGCTAGAATCCCTCAAGGTCCTGCTTTATTAAGCGTCGGCCCAACTTTTAAAATTCTAGGTTGCTTCCCCGCTGCCAAACACCACTCAAAGGGGTGCAAAGCGGGGAGAAAAGACGGGAAGGCTACAAAACCTCTAATCTCTTTCTCCATACAGCCCGCCGCACCAGGGAGGACCCCCCCCAACCCTCCCCTCGTCTCCTCCCTCTCCTCCCTCCCCATCATCCCCAAGCCCGGAGGCAAACGAGAACAAGCAGCACGGACTAAGTGTGGGAGGACGTGGCAGCGGGTGCCTCAACTCCCCTCTTGCACTCCTCCAAAGAGCGGCTCTCGGCGGGCCGGCGCGAGGCCAGAATCGAGCCTCCTCCCCCTGGCCCCACCATCGCGCCCAGCCCCAAGCGCTAGCCCTTTACCTGCGCTCCGCCCGGCACCTCCCCCAGCCCGGTGAGTTGCGCGCACTCAGAGTTTTTCCACTCCGGACGTGTCGTCGCCCAGTTGACCAATCGCGGCTCTAGAAACGGCCATCGCCCCGCCTCCTCCTCCTCCCTCCTCCCCCAATTCTATTCTCTCGCCCAGCGGCAAAAGAAGACTCTAAGGTCGGCTGAAAGTGGAGCGTGCGCGCTCCCGGAGAGGACCAAAAACAGCAGCCCAAGGAATTTTGCTCGAGCACGCGCCAGGCCCGGAAGGGGCGGGATGTAGAGGTGGCGAGGAGGGGCGTGGTCGGGGTTGGGGGCGTGAAGGAGCGTGCGCGAATCGGGGTGCGTGGCTGTGCTCTTAGGAAGGACGGGAGCTGGGTGCTATGGAGCGGGTAGAGAGCTAGAAAAGCCGGGAGAAATGTGGCCGTAAGGGCAAGAGGAGCGAGCTCTGTTTGGTCTGACACTTGGTGGTTTAAAAAGGAAGAGGAAATCTACAATGGAAAACCCATCCTGAGGGCCTGCTAAGGAGCAGGACTTGTTTTTGGCTTCTGGTTTTGTTTTCTTGGGGATGAGGTTTGGGAGCTGTTTCAGAGAACTGAGAGATCTACGGCCGGGTGGAGCCTCCCGTGATCCTGCCACTAAGTGGCGCGTTTTTAATTCCCTCCTGAGTATTTCCATTGAATGGGGATTAATTGTAAAAAGTAATTTGAGGAATAAGGTCTTAATTGGTTGCACTGGCGGACTATTAGCGGAGGATAGGTAGGCGCCGTCGGGGCGTAGGAGGAGCCAGATCCTCCCTTGGGCGGGGCCTCCCCTTTGGCCCTTCCTCTCCCTCCTCTGCCCGCACTGGCTCTGGCTGTGAAGTAATAACTTGCTTTGTCACTGAGACAGAAGGGAAAACTCCCAAATTCAGTTTAAAGTTCTGCCGGTTGGGAATGCAGCAAGCAGGCTGGGTGGCTGTCCCAGAGCCCGGCCATCTCCTATCACCCCCCCCCACCCATGGACTTCCATGATGTCACTTCTCCATGACCGAATGCAGAATCCTGAACCCGTTAAGTTTCCCAGAGGTTAGGCAGCCATTCTATTTAACCACGTAACATCAATTAGCTTTTACAAAGGGATATTTGCTTCAAAGACAGTAGCAAGAACCAAAGTATAAATATTTCCCCCTAAAAGTTCAGGGGCATACTCTCCCCCACAACACTAAATGCTTTAGGGAGCATGGACTCAAAACTTAGTTCAGTCCCTACAGAGCATTGTCCCCTATCATGTTCATGTCCAGATGGAGCATGATTACCTTTTGAGTCCTCAGCTTCTGTTGGCCTGTGTCCCCAGAAGTTGGAAGTTGGGATTTTCTTTCAGCTCAACAAAGCTGGTTGGGAAAAAAAAAAAAACCAGCCTAGACTACAACTCCAGGATTCCTGATCTTTCAAAGCTAACCCTTTGCCTTTGTTGTTGTTCTTCAGTCTTTCAGTCCATTCTTCTCTTCCTGTGATCTCATGGACCATAGCACTCCAAGCCCTTCTGTCCTTCCCTCTCAAAGTCTGGCAAATTCATGTTCCATGTTTCCATGACACTATCTCCTCGACCTTGGGCAAGTCACTTAACCCTGTTTCCCTCCATTTCCTCATCTGTAAAATGAGCTGGAGAAGGAAATGGCAAACCACTCCAGTATCTCTGCCAAGAAAACCCTAAATGGGGTCAAGAAGAGTTGGACAGGACTGAAAAACCCTTCAGCTAGAATAGCTTGTAAGCTTGCATTTATACTTGCACTTTGAAGCTACAACATGCTTTACAAGTGTAAGATAATATATCTTCAAAACAACCTTAAAAGTAGGTGCTGTTATTCCCTTCATTTTACAGATGAAGAAACTGAGGCATTCTGCAGTTGAGTAACTTGTCTAGGGTCACCTAGTGTCAGAGGCAGGATTTGAACTCAGGTCTTCATGGCTTCCAGGCCCAGCATTCTACCACTTAGCTGACTGTTAAAATGGAAAAGAACAAATGCAAAAGGCAAATGGCAGGGGCAGCTAGGTGGCAGAATAGATAGAACAGATAGAACACAGGCATGGAGTCAGAAAACCCTCAATTTCCTAATCTGTAAAAATGAGCTGGAGAAGGAAATGACAAAACACTCCAGTATCCTTGCCAAGAAAACCCCAAAATGGGGTCATGAAGAGAAAGACACTGCTGAAACCACCGAACAACAGTAATGACGAAGGACGGAGGCTCGTGACCTTAGAAAGGAAATCAAACACTAGGCAGATCTGAATAGGTTACTCAGTGTCTACATATGCTCCAGTCTTGTCAAATCATGTCTCTTACATATCATCTTGACTCCAGGATACAGATACTCTCTAGCCTTTCCACATGGCACATCATCCCAAGGCATTCTGCACATGTTCCAGACCCCCATTACAGGAAGTTTATCTAAATGTATGATTATTGAAATCACAATAACTCACGGTAGTCATAGCACTGGACTTGGAGATTAGAAGACCTGTTCAAATTCTGCCCCCAAATAATACCTATGTGACTCTGACCAAGTTACTTAATGTCTCTGGTCCTCAGTTTTCTTATTGTGAAATGAGGAGGTTGGGTCGACCTCTAAAGTCTTTTCTAGATCCAAATATAGGATAAGCCATTAAGCAACCTCTACACTGCAAGCTGTAAAGAAAACTTCACAGCAGCTTAAGTTCTTAGTAATCAAATAGCCACTGACTTTCCCATTGCCAAGTGAATTTTGGGGTGCTGAGTGGTCTGTTGTGAGATGACCTAATTACATTTTTTCCAGTCTCTGTTTTATTATGTATTGTCTTATCTTTACTGCAGGCTGACTTCCTAGAATGTTCCTTTTCTACATCTAATTGTTATAAAAGGGTTTTTGTTTTTTGTTTTGTTTTTTTTTTTGGTTTGTTTTGTTTTGTAAAGGAGGACTTTGGTAGTCCTAAGAAGTCTGTCCCTTTTCTCTATCTTGTCTGTCAGTTATGTGTGGTTCTCTTTGATCTCATTTGAATAGCTATGCAAACAAGGTCACATTCCTTCTTTTGTAAAGAGTGATAAGCATCCTTTTTTGTTGTAGCAAATAGACTTTTCCTCTCTACTGTGACCAAGAAGCCTCACCTAAGGAATGATTAGGTGAATGTATTACCAACAAAGCCCAACAACAAGAGATAGAAAGAGAAATTCCATTTAAAGTTACTATAGACATTATAAAATATTTAGGAGTCTACCTGCCAAAACAAACCCAGGAACTATGTGAGCACAATGTGAACACTTTTCACACAAATAAAGTCAGATCTAAATAATTGGAAAAATATCAGTTGCTCATGGGTAGGCCAAGCTAATATAATAAAAATGACAATTCTACCTAAGTTAATTTACTTGTTCAGTGTCATACCAATCAAATTACCAAAAAATTATTTTATAGAGGTAGAAAAAATAATAACAAGATTCATTTGAAATAACAAAAGGTTCAGATGATCAAGGGAACTAATGAAAAAAAATGCTAGGGAAGATGGCCTAACCATACCAGATCTTAAATTGTATTGTAAAACAGCAATCATCAAAACTACTTGGTACTGGCTAAGAAATAGAGTGGTGTATCAGTGAAATAGGTTAGGTATGCAAGACACAGTAGTCAATGACTATAGTAATCTACTGTTTGATAAACCCAAAGACCCCAGCTTCTGGGATGAGAACTCACTATTTGACAAAAACTGCTGGGAAAACTGGAAAACAGTATGGCAGAAACTAGGCATAGACCAACATCTTACACCATATAACAAAATAAAGTCAAAATGGGTTCACAATTTAGATATAAAGGCTGATACTATAAAGAAACTGGGAGAGCAAGGAATAGTTTACCTGTCAGATTTATGGAAAACAGAAGAATTTATGACCAAGCAAGAGATAGAGAACATTATGAAATGCAAAATGGATGATTTTGATTACATTAAATTGAAAAGTTTTTGCACAAACAAAGCCAATGCAATCAAAATTAGGAGGAAAGCAGAACACTAGGAAAGTTTTTACAAACAGTATCTCTGATAAGGGCCTCATTTCTAAAATATATAGAGAACTAAGTTAAATGTATAAGAATACAAGTCATTCCCTAATTGATAAATGGTCAAAGGATATGAACAGACAGTTCTCGGATGAAGAAATTACAGGTATCTATAGTCATATGAAAAAATGCTCTAAATCCCTATTGATTAGAGAAATGCAAATCAAAACAACTCTGAGGTACCACATCACACCTATCAGACTGGCCAACATGACAGAACAGGAAAATGATAAATGTTGGAGAAGATGTGGGAAAATTGGAACACTGATACATTGTTGGTGGAGTTGTGAACTGATCCAACCATTTTGGAGAGCAATTTGGAACTATGCCCAAAGGGCTATAGAAATGTGCATACCCTTTGACCCAGCAATAGCACTTTTAGGGCTGTATCTCAAAGAGATCATAAAAATGGGAAAAGGATCCACATGTACAAAAATATTTATAGTAGCTCTTTCTGTGGCGGCCAACAATTAGAAACTGAGGGGATGTCTATCAATTGGGGAAGGGCTGAAAAAGTTGTATATTTGTGCTATAAGAAATGATGAGCAAGCAGACTTCAGAAAAACCTGAAAAGACTTGTATGGACTAATGCTGAGTGAAGTGAGCAGAACCAGGAGAATATTGTACACAGTAACAGCCATGTTGTTTGATGACTAACTTTGATAGATTTAGCTCTTCTCAGCAATGCAAGGATCTAAGGCATCTCCAAAACTCTCATGATGGAAAATGGTATCCACATCCAGAGAAAGAACTATGGAGTTTGAAAGCAGATTGTAGCATACTATTTGCTCTTTTTTTTCCTTCTGTTTTGCTTTGTTTCTTCTTTCTTATGGTTCCTCCTATTGGTTCTAATTCTTCTTTACAACATGATTAATGTGAAAATATATTTAATAGGAATGTATATGTAGAGCTTATATCAGATTGCACATTGTCTTGGGGAGGAAGACTGGGAAGGAGGGAGAGAAAATTTGAAACTCAAAAGCTTATAGAAA